GCAGATTCACCTATACTCTTCACCTCAATATAATTATTATTATTTTTGTATATTCTCTGGAGGTCTTTGTACTTAGACATATGTATTAGCATAATTGTAATGATATTTGCTATATGGTGATTCAGGAGAGTAAGAGATTTCAGAGATATTCGTAGTCAAGCCTTTTTTTAAGCAATTTTTTTAATGCATAAAAGTAATAGGTGCCTAGATTCTAAAATAAAAAAGTAAAAAGTACCCATAACCATTATTAATATTTTGATTTTTTTCTAATCTTTCTGTTGTTGTAGAAATATATTTTTATTTTATTTTATTTTAACTTTTAAGTTTAGGAGTACATGTGCAGGTTTGTTATAGGTAAACTCATGTCATGGAGGTTCGTTTTACAGATTATTTTGTTACCCAGATATTAAGCCTAGGCCCCATCAGTTAGTTTTCTGATCCTTGCGCGCCACTTACCCTCCATCAGTAGGCCTAGTGTGTGTTGTTCCCCTCTATGTGTCCATGTGTTCTCATCATTTAGCTTTCACTTAGAAGCAAGAACATGCAGTATTTGGTTTTCCATTCCTGCGTTGGTTTGCTAAGGATAATGGCCTCCAGCTCCAACCATATTTCTGCAAAGAACATGATCTCTTTCTTTTTTATTGCTGCAGATCATACTGTATGGTCAATTTTGTATTCTGATATTTTCTACCTAACATGCTGTGACCATTTCCCCTTACTGAATATTTATTGAACATTTTAGTAACTACTAGTATTTGTGGTAAGAGCATGCCATGATATACATAATGTATAAGATCCCTTCTCTTTAGTTGTATACTTAGGTCATTTCCAGGTTTTTTATATTTTTTAATTAATGTTTTATTGTAATTTTTGTGTGTACATAGTAGGTATATGTATTTATGGGTATATGAGATTTTTTTATACAGGCATGCAATGTGTAATAATCATCACATCAGGGTTAATAGGGTATCCATCACCTCAAGCATTTATCCCTTCTTTGTATTACAAACAATGCAGTTATATTCTTTTAGTTATTTTTAAATGTATAATAAATTAGGATCGAGAGAATAAAATCTGATATTTGATCGCACAAAGGGACTACATTTCCATTTTTTTTGCTATTATAAATCTTACAGATTTTCATTGTTGATCTTTATTTGCTATTTTAATTTTATTCTCAGTGTAGTATATTCCTGTTCTGAGAATATAATTAACTGCCATGACAAATAAACTGCCAAACCTTCAAACTGTTTTTCCAGCTGTTTTTCAGAAAGGTGGAACTTGCTCATATTTGCAGTAGCAGAGAATGAGGGTGCCCTTATCAGCCAACTCTTGCCATCATGGAACATTATTTTTTCATCTGTTGGTTACAAAGGGATATTATAATTTTCTCTCTTTAACAACTAGTGAGGTCAGATATCTTTTTCTTACACTTCTTGCCATATTTTCATGTTCTTTACCTCTTTTTCTAATGTGATAAGTGGAGTTTTTAAAAAATGTATTTGTGTGAACTTGTAATGGTAGCAATACTCAAAAGATATTTCTTCAATTTGGTTGTCTTTTTATTTTACTTATGATTTGTTGGTTTTAGAAGTTTTTAGTTCCATTTACTAAACTTATGGGGTGTTTTTGGATCTTTGTACCTCTTTATGTTTAGAAAGGTACTTGCCACACCAGATTATGATTAGCTTTTCACCTGTACTTTCTTTTTTTTTTTTCTTTCTTTTTTTCAATTTGAATTGCAGGCAGAGGGGATCTCCCTCTTGGAGGAAAGATAGAAATATTAAAAAGCTTATCTGTAGCCTAACCTAATTCTGTAAACATTGTTTTGAAACTACAACACAACACATAAAATTTTGTAGATTCCCAGTCTCTGCTGGGCTTATCAGAGTCTTAGTAATTTTAAAACTACAGATAATTTCTCTCTCAATACATACATGATTCAACAATACAATATTGTGTAACTGTAGTATTTGTGGCTCCTATCTAGGAAATTACTAAGATAAACACTAATACCAAACATTTAAAAGTTGTACTTAGAACTTTACAAAAGGTAACCCATTAATGAATTATTTCAAGAATCTGTGGTTAAATATACAACCTAAATTCATGTTTTAAAAAACACTTCTTATTCTTAAGAATTACATTGTAACAGGAAAGATAGGAAAAAGAATTTTAAGCTGTGTTTACATTTTAAATTGCCAAGTCACAACTGGCTTCTTTTTTTTTTTTGAGACCAAGTCTCGCTTGGTCACCCAGGCTGGAGTGCAGTGGCGCAATCTCAGCTCACTGCAACATCCGCCTCCTGGGTTCAAGCGATTCTTCTGTGTCAGCCTCCTGAGTAGCTGGGATTACAGGCGCCTGCCACCACACCCAGCTAATTTTTGTATTTTAGTAGAGACAGGGTTTCACTGTGTTGCCCAGGCTGGTCTTGAACTCCTGAGCTCAGGCAGTCCATCCACCTCAGCCTCCCAAAGTGCTAGGATTACAGGCGTGAGCCACCAAGCCCCGCCACAACTGGCTCCTTAAGCAAATACTTAAACCATCAGATAACACACTTAGTAGACCACACTTTGACATTGGAGGGAAAGATGAGTGTGTAGTAACTTGATAAGTATAAATGTTTAAGAAAGTAGAACTGTGATGACATTAACTACATGCATCTAGACAGTGCAGAATTTGAATGTAGGAAACAGGATTCTGAAACATGACATCTGTAGCCATAAGCAAAAGTAACTCACATAAGAAGTCAGTCCTTAAAAGGTAATTTATAGCATTGCACTCACTGTTTATTAACAAATAATGAATGAGAGTGAATGAATACTTACTTAATTTTTGTTTTTCATATCTGGTTAATTTGGTACTAGATCTGGTCATTATGAGAGCAGTATTATAAGGAAGCTCAAAACATCCTGATAAACCTGTAAGATTCCCCAGAAGTAAATCAGCGAGGAGTGTTATTAGGAATATGCTTGTAAATGTCTGGATATGATTATTCATTTTGTTTCTTTATTTTATAGGTGTACCATTATCTACACAATGGGGACCTCAAGGCTATTTCTATCCAATCCAGATTGCACAGTATGGGTTAAGTCATTACAGCAAGAATCTAACTGAGAAACCTCCTCACATAGAGGTATATGAAACAGCAGAAGACAGAGACAAAAACAGCAAGCCTAATGACTGGACTGTGCCAAAGGGCTGCTTTATGGCTAATGTGGCTGATAAGTCTAGATTAACCAATGTCAAACAGTTTATTGCACCAGGTAAGTTATATATTATGTGTGCCTGCTAATTTTATGTTGATTTGTGGGACCCTGATGTTCCCTTAAATTTTTGATATGGTTTAAAAAGAAAAAAACCATTTAGCAGACCCCTTATATTACATATATAAAGCAACAAATGGTGTCACCCCAGTGAAATCCCTAAAAAAGATACAGCTAAAACGTCAAGGTTATAAAAATGAATATTTACTATGTAAAGAGCCAAGCCATAGATTGAATGTTAAGCTCCAGATTACTGTAAAATGTGTACCTGCCTCCAGGGGTCTATATCCAATAGGAATGAAATTCCTCCATTTAATATTTCAGTCCAGTGTAGTTTAATTTTTAAACTTTTGCAGTAAATAGAATGGTTTCAAAGCCATCCTTTCTTTTGATTATTTTTTGCCAATAGCTTTTAATTTTTTCAGGATAATATAGCATTACTGAAGAGGCCTGTTTCCCGTATTGGATTTTGTTAATGTACTAGATTATCTCAAACTTCATGTAAAACCATTTTCCTTAATAAAATAATTTACAAAATCAAATTAACTTTATACAACATTTCCCCTTTTACTAAGACAGTCTCATTAATTAGAATGTAACGCATTTTCCTGCATTAATCAATATCGATGAGAATTAATGAGTCCGTTACTTAAGAAGACAATGAAATAATTTTAGTTAGCACCTTAGGCTTAATTCTCTATGGGGTAATGTTGTCAAGTACAGAATTTGTTCCACCTTCCCACCAACCTTGCAGTTGATAAATAAAAAGAGAGGAAAGGTTATAAGACCTCTTTTGTATTTTCTCCTTGTTCTTCATTGATGACTGTGTAATTTACGGACCCTGAAAGCCGCAATACAAGCCTGCTCATTCTAGATAGCCTTAAGTAATGGATTTTTGAGTACTGAATGCAGTGCAAATAATGGGCGACCTTTAATTTTTATTCTGTGACTAGAACTCCTTTTCCCCCATGGCATGCTGTAATATTCTGGTACATAGAGCATCTTTGCTTATTGTAAAATAACAGGTTTAGCTGAGTGATAAGGTACAAGGAAATTTAAGAATATTTAGCTTGTGTTACCTAAGAGGTTATTGTAACAGGAAATGATTAGACTATGCAAAAGAACTTTTGGATACCCTCAAGAAACTTATTTTTGCGATAGTTAATAATGGTTTTCTGGATTAGGGTAGAATCAGCAGCCCTCACCTTGATCATCTTGAGTGACTGGATGGTTTTCCACGAGTCTTTTGAACTCTGTTCTATTTAGAGCAACAGATTTCATTGTGCAGTTTTGGGTGCTCTGAGTAATACAAAAGATAGGTTCCCACATCTTAAGTGAGGGATCCTCACCTTAGGCCCTCATTCTGTAGCCAATAGCTGGAGATAAAACTACCTCCTAAGATGGTTTTAAGTATATAGAGGAGAGAACTCTGTAGCAGCCACTCTGTGAGTGGGACATAGCTATTCTAAGTTGGAGCTCCCTGTTGCTGGAAGTGTGCTAGCTGGAGATGGGATGCACACTTGGATAATTCTGTGTATGCATGTACAGGTTGAGTACATGCACACACAGTATCTGAAATGCTTGGGAGTAGAAGTGTTTCGGATTTTGGAATATTTAGATATACATAATAAAATCCTGGGGATAGGACCCAGTCTAAACACAAAATTCTTTTATATTTTATATGCTATACACGTAGCCTGAGGGTGGCTTTTTATAATATTTTTAATAATATATGCGACCCATCATGAGGGCAGATGTGGAATTTTCCACTTGTGGCATCATGTTAGCTTTCAAAAAGTTTTGGATTTTGGAGCATTTCAGATTTCCGATTTTTGAACTAAGGATGCTCAACCAGCAGTTGCATACTATAAGGGTATGAGGGAAGGTGAGGTGGAGTTACATGGGAGCTATTGCTCAGAACAGAGCAGGAGAAGGGAATCAAAGAGTTGAGACTATTTTATTGAAGCACAGGTATGAGAAATGAGGCTTTTGGGAGGATATAGACCTTATGGGAGATAAATTCAGAGAATCACCATTAAGAGGAAATTGGAACTTGTGCATAAAAGCATAGGCCTAAGTGAGTTGAGACTCTGGAGGACCACAAGCTGAATGCTGTTGGCCCTTTTTTTTCTTTCTTGGCCTTGAATTTCTTTTCTGAAAGGAGATAAAATCAAAGAGTAAAGAGTCATGTAATATGGTTCTGCAGCATATTTTTGTTGTTTTATTTGTTGAATAATGTTTTATTCCTTTTTCTAATTTTAAAATGGAATAAATGAGCTTTCCCTTTCCCCAAGCCCTCTTTTTATTTGATTTCCATGACCTCACTTTCTCCTATCTCTGTAGCCATTCTTGCTCAGGCTTCTTGGGAGCTTTTCTTCTTCTGCCTGATTCTTCTTTCTCTTGGTGTTTCTCAAGATTTTGAGTAGGGCGTCTTCTCATGCTACATAGTAAATCTGTTGATTAAATGAATGGGTTGATAACAGTTTTTGCTGGATATGAAACACTGATATAAAGGCTATTTTTTCCCCAGCTTTATTGAGGTATAACTGGCAAATGTATGTAATGTGATGCTTTGATACACATATATATATATATATATAGTGAAATTATTATCATAATTAAATTAGTTGACACATCCATCACCTCATAGTTACCTTTCTTTGTATGGTGGTGGTGGTGAGAACATTTAAGAAACATCTTAGCACATTTCAGGTATGTAATACAGTATTATAAGCTGTAGTCATCATGCTATACATTAGACTCCTAGAACTTATTTATCTTATAACTGAAGTTTGTGCCCTTTGACCAGCACCTCCCCATTTTTCCCACTCCCTAGCCTGACAACCACCATTCCACTGTTTATGTGAGTTCAGTTGTTTTGGAGTCCACATATAAATGAGATCATACAGTATCTTTCTCTGACTTGTCACACGTAGCATAACACCCTCAAGGCTCATCTGTGTTGTCACAAATGGCAGGATTTCCGTCTTTGTTATGGCTCATGTTCCATTATGTATGTATATGTGTGTGTGTGTATATATATACACACACACACACCATATTTTCTTTATCCATACTAGACACTTAGGTTACTCCTATGCCTTGGCTATTGTGAATAATGCTGCAAATAACATGGGTGTGCAGATATCTTTTTGAGATAATTGGTTTAATTTCCTTGGGGTATATACCAGGAAGTGGGATTGCTGAATCATATGGTAGTTCTATTTTTAATTTTTTGGGGAACCTCCATACTGTTTCCCATAATTGCTATGCCAATTTACATTTCCATTTAAACAAGCGTTCCCCTTTCACCACATCCTCACCAGTACTTCTTATCTCTTCCGTTTTTGTCATCTCAACAGGTGTAAGGTGATGATATATCATTGTGGTTTTGCTTTGCATTTATTTCTCTGGTGACTGATGATGTTGAGCACCTTTTTATATACCTTTTGGCCCCTTGTATATCTTCTTTGAAAAAGTGTCTCTTCAGATCATTTGCTTATTTTTTAATCAGATTTTTTTCTTTTTTTTTTTCGCTGTTTGGTTGTATAAGTTCCTGATAGATTTTGGATATTAGCTTCTTATCAGATATATGTTTGTACATATTCTCTCTTATTCTGTAGGTTGCTTTGCATTTTGATTGTTTCCCTTGCTGTGCAAAAGCCTTTTAGTTTGATATAGTCCCACTTCTCTGTGCCCCTTTTGCCTGTGCTTTTGTATCAAACCTAAACAATCAATGCTAAGACCAGTGTCAAAACTATTCTTAAATGTTGACCATCCTTTATTGCTTAAAGTGCATATACATATGTCGCATATACCAAAAATAAACAATTATAGTAACTCCTGGGAATAACTGGTCAGAGAGAGGATGAGTCATGGATTTCAAACAATAAAAAGACCAAAACTTTCTATTAGATTTGTAGGAGGAATCTTCAGATAGCATAGTACTTCCAGTAGAGCTCAGAACCTTACCTGGTATATTGCCAAACTGGTTGCCACCATCCCATTTGCTACCATTCAGATCCTCCTGAATGATGCCAGCAGGTTAATTAACCTCTCTGTATATCTATAAATGGGAATTAAAAGACTTATGGGATTGTTGTAAAGATTATAATTGTTGGTTGGTTAATTTAAATTGAGAATTGTGACGTCTGTCACTTCTCCTAGATGACTCAGTAACCCCCTCTGCTGGTGTTAAGGTTTTAGGGAAATTAATAAATTGGCTTTTTAAAAGGTTACATCCCCTGACGTCGTTCATGACTGAGTTCTTTGGACTGATTTGCTATATGAAGACATAAAGTGAATGATTAAACCATGTCATTTCATTAAATTTGTGTAAATAAAGTTGAAATTTTCAGAGGAAATAGGTACTCTTTCTGCTTCCTCACATTTGGACTTCTAAAGATGGGTCATTGTTATCCAGTTTGGCCAGAATAGATGTCATAGATAATAATCCCATCTGATGAGAATGAAAAAATAAGTAGCATTCAAGATTGTCTGCTCCACTGAATATAATTTAATCTTGAGTGGTTCATATGTCAATTCAGAATCCTGCAGTGTTTCAGGAATGTTGTCTTGAACTTCAGATCCCATTTTACTATAAATGCAGACAAATGCTAGTTAAGAGAGAGAGTACATGTTGACATTTTGCCAGATAAAAATGGAATTTTACTGTATTAGAAGTTTACTTCTGAAATCAGTTTTTCTATTAAGTCTTGAGTGACTTAATAGAAATTATTTGATGCATTGTTTGATGCATAAGTTTATCAGGCTGTTCTCATTCTTGATACATCTTTCAAAATTGTCTGTTCCATCCAATGAAGTAATTAAGAGCTTTGGGCCAAATATAACCATACTGCTAGAGTCCAGTGTTGCAAGAGTTAAATGATCAACTCAACATACTGATGCCCTCCAAGTGTACACTATCATCAGTTCACATTTCTTTTTCCCTTTATTTATTTCTTTTTTCTTTTTAAAGAGACGGTCTTATTCTGTCACCCAGACAACAGTGCAGTAGTATGATCATAGCTCACTGCAGCCTCAAACTCCTGGGCTTAAGCAATCCTCCCACCTTAACTTCCCAAGTACCTAGGACGACAGACACATGCCACTGCACTTGGCTATTTTATTGTATTTTTTGTAGAGTTAGGGTCTCACTTTCTTGCCCAGACTTGTCTCAAGCTCCTTGCTTCAAGCAGACCCCTGCCTTGGCCTCCCAAAGTGCTGGGTGTGAGCAGCTGTGCCCGGCCCAGGTCACATTTCTGCTCTTTGCTCCTGGTGACACACTAAAGATTTTTTCAAGGATTCTGCAAAGCAGAGATCTGCTTCTATGGCTGCGCCTAGGAGAACCCTTCTCTTGAATATTCATAAGAATACCATTTCCAATATCATTTGTCTTTTTCACAGTCTGAACTTGACTCCAGGAAACCTGGATTCTAGTCCCTTCTCTACCACTAATTAGCTTTTGGCATCTGGCAAACCATTTAACCTGGCAAAGCCTGCATGTCTTCATCTCTAAAATGGAGATGTAATAATAATAATTCCTGGCCTACTAGCCTCAGAAGATTAAGTATCAAATGAGATAATACATGTGAATGCACTGTGGACATTTAAGCTGTGGAAAGATCAAGATACTCATATTTCCCTCTAATATTTTTAAATGTGTACTACATATATTTTTGTTCTTGTTGCTGCTGCTATTTTAATATGCTCAGTTTCTTGGTAGATCTAGATGAGCAGTATTCAAAAAGTCATCTTTCTGGGAATTAGCCACTATTAATACTATAAATATTCAAGAGAAATTTCCTCTTTAATAATTTGTCAGAGGCCGGGCACGGTGGCTCACGCCTGTAATTCCAACATTTTGGGAGGCTGAGCTGGGTAGATCACGAGGTCAAGAGTTCGAGACTAGCTTGGCTGACATTGTGAAACCCTATCTCTACTAAAAAAATACAAAAATTGGCCAGGCATGATGGTGTACACCTGTAATCTCAGCTACTCAGGAGGCTGAGACCAGAGAATTGCTTGAATGCGGGACGTGGAGGTTGCAGTGTGCCAAGATTGTGCCACTGCACTCCAGCCTGGGTGACAAAGCAAGACTCTGTCTCAAAAAGAAAAAAAAATTGTCAGATAAAACAGCTTTAACTATTTTATTAGGCTCTGAAGCTAGTGATTCCAGAATAATAATAATAACTTTCATTTATTACTATATTCCACTCCATTATCTTTTTTAAAGTCCTGGCAATTACCCTGCAAGGTAATGTTATCTCTATTTAACATGTGAAGAAACTGCGGCTCAAAGAGGTGCATCTTGCCAGACTTCTCAAAGCTAGAGGTAGAACAAAAATTCAAATCTGAGGTTTTTTAACTCCAAAGCCTGTGCTTTACCCTTGCACACCCCACCATTCTCTCACTTTTTGTTGTACACATGAGCCTGTTGCTTAATTTCCAGAATTTTTATTAGTAATTCTAGCAAGTCTGTGAAACCAAATCTATCATTTTCAAAATCAAATCAATAATGTATTATAGAACCAGACTAGGCAACCTGGGTTCAAGTCTTGTACCTTGGGCAAGTTACTTCCTTGTGTCTCAGTTCCTCATCCATAAAGTACGAGTAATAATAGCACCTACTCTTGTGATTGTTCAGGGGATTAAATGAGTAAACAGGTGTAAAGCACTTAGAACATCGTAAGTACATATGAAATGTTCATTAAACAATTTAAAATTCATGTATAATTATTTTTTCTAGCCTCTTTCTTGCAATATTATGTGCTGAGCCAGCTTTTGGCTGTTTTTTTTTTTTTTTTTTTGTTCACAGAATAGGTGTACTAGAATAGTCATTGATTACTGATCAGCTAGCACTAGATTTAGGAAAGGCAATTTTTATCAACAATGCCTTGGCCATTTGCTATTAATCCTCTACTATGAACCAGACAGGGAAAAAGGTAAGAGCTTTGTACTGATGCTCACAAGCCATCATGAACTCACCAATTCTGTCATTTGTTTTTAGTTAATTTGGTAAAAAAGGAAATTATGAATAATCTAATACCAAAAATATTGAAGTGTTAATTTTGTGTGGTCAGGGTTGTCAAGGATGAATTGCAATTAAATTTCAAATACAAAAGTGCTTTTATTCTAACCAGCCTTTGTTGGTATATTCTCTCCTACAGAAACCAGTGAAGGTGTATCCTTGCAACTGGGAAACACAAAAGATTTCATTATTTCATTCGACCTCAAGTTCTTGACTAATGGAAGTGTGTCCGTGGTTCTAGAGACCACAGAAAAGAATCAGCTCTTCACTATACATTATGTCTCAAATGCTCAGCTAATTGCTTTTAAAGAAAGAGATATATACTACGGCATTGGGCCCAGAACTTCATGGAGCACAGTTACCAGGGATCTGGTCACTGACCTCAGGAAAGGAGTGGGTCTTTCCAACACAAAAGCTGTGAAGCCAACCAAAATAATGCCCAAGAAGGTGGTTAGGTTGATTGCAAAAGGGAAGGGATTCCTCGACAACATTACCATCTCCACCACTGCCCACATGGCCGCATTTTTTGCTGCTAGTGATTGGCTGGTAAGGAACCAGGATGAGAAAGGTGGCTGGCCAATTATGGTGACCCGTAAGTTAGGGGAAGGGTTCAAGTCTTTAGAGCCAGGATGGTATTCTGCCATGGCCCAAGGGCAAGCCATTTCTACATTAGTGAGGGCCTATTTGTTAACAAAAGACCATATATTCCTCGATTCAGCTTTAAGGGCAACAGCCCCTTATAAGTTTCTATCTGAGCAGCATGGAGTTAAAGCTGTGTTTATGAATAAACATGACTGGTATGAAGAATATCCAACCACACCTAGCTCTTTTGTTTTAAATGGCTTTATGTATTCTTTAATTGGGCTGTATGACTTAAAAGAAACTGCAGGGGAAAAACTCGGAAAAGAAGCAAGGTCCTTGTATGAGCGTGGCATGGAGTCTCTTAAAGCCATGCTGCCCTTGTATGATACTGGCTCAGGAACCATCTACGACCTCCGTCACTTCATGCTTGGCATCGCTCCTAACCTGGCTCGCTGGGACTATCATACCACCCACATCAATCAGTTGCAGCTACTCAGTACCATTGATGAGTCCCCAATCTTCAAAGAATTTGTCAAGAGGTGGAAAAGCTACCTAAAAGGCAGCAGGGCAAAGCACAACTAGAGCTCACAACCAAAATTATACTCAGCCTCTGCTGTACACAGAAACTACAGGCTCTGTCTCAGGAGAGCATAGGCACATTTTAAAAGGTTATGTACTGGGTTTTTGTGGATTCTATCGAAGTGATAAGTGATCCTTATAACCAGTCTTCTAAAAGAATTGCATTCCATGGGTTGGGTATTTAGAAATGTAGGTGGCATTTAGAACAAAATGTTGAATCAGTGGGCTGAACAAAGATGCTTCACTTTGCCTTGCCCACCACCCTATGCGGTTCCACAGATAGTCTAGTCACTCTGTGTGAGAAAGATCATGGTAAGTAGTTCTTACTGGCCAACTGTCTAGCACTTACCTGAAGACTAGGTATGGAGCTCTTTTAAAATGTGATTATTTATATTTATGTTGGAAGCAGACTTAAGAAAAATAATGTGCTGTAAAACAGTAAATATGTACTTGTAGCCTGGATAGTGGACTGTGTTCAACTTTTTAAAAAGATGTTTCTTTTCTATAGATTAATTTCTTGGGAGCAAATGAGTATTTGTTGCATTTGTTCAATTTGTTGTATATGGTGAATATTTAATTATGGTTTTCTTGAAATGTGTAAATTAAAAACACAACCAGTGTTCAGGCTTCACAGTTAAATAATGTAAGCACAACTAAAATGAAACTTGTTGACTGCACAAGAAATTACAAAGATGTTTCTGTTTTGAAACTTGATCTACAATCAGTAAAAGTTTGATAATCACTATATCCCTCCCCAACCCTCATCATGATAGTTTCTTTTTGTCACTATCTAGAATTTTGTATTTTATTTCAGACTACACCTTGGAGTTTTGTATATTTTGAGAGAGACATTTTTGGAACATTATTTGGGAAACTTACTACAAATCTAAATTTGGAAAGGAGCTAGTAGTTTTAAGGCCACCACCATTTTTAATTTTTTTTAGGATTTTTCCCCCTTTAAATAAAAATACTAGGTCAGATACTACATACACGAATCATAGCAAAGCTTTTTTTTCTTCTCCTACCCAGATCATTCTTGATCATCAGCTTTCCAAACCATTGAGCCTCTGCATCATTGGGGTTTCTTTTGAAATTTAATTTTGAATTATTCCAGTTATTAGATAGAAGAGATGTTACTGGTACTGCATTTGCTATACTTGTGTAATCATATCTTTATTTAGGTTATGTATATCCTCCTGTACCTCACATAAGTAGATTTCAGAGCCCTCATGCAATGGGCAGTGTCTGCTATAGGGCTTCAGGCATTAAGTTAAAACCATGGGATGTTGATTTTGCTGTGACTTTTGTTTTAGGGTATGACAGTACACTAAATCAATACTGTATCTTACAGAGTTTGAAAATATGATCCCTGTACTTCCAGGGGACTGAGTCTGACAAACACAATGCATTGATCTGTGACCTATATCAAGTACACATTTAGGAGCCAGGTAGGTTACCTTCTTACACACTATATTTTAATTGAATTCAACCTACCAAGCACTCCTTAGAAACTGGAAAACATATATACACATATATGTTAGCATCAAAGGGGGCAGAAGCAAAGAAGATACAGATCTGCACTGAAGACATTAAACTGGCCATAGAAAAGTAAGCTTGAATTCCCAATTTATGTGACCACATTCCTCTTAATTTTGATCACAGTAAAAACACTTTTGAGTTATTAGATTTACCCCTAGCCTTTGACTTTTGCATTTCATATATGTTAGATAATCTCTCAGCAAGAATATCTGGGAACCTATTTTACTCCCCATATTTGTTATTATTTAGAATGGTTCCTACGTCTGCTTTGTTTGCAAACTGGTCTTCAGATTATAGGAATCAATAATAACAGTATGGTACTGCTTCTGTGATGAATATCAGTGCCTTAACAATGTGGCTGTCCATTCCTGCTGAAGAAGGAAAGACTTTTGATCTAGAAATAACGTTACAATTTCCTTGCTGTTGGCTTTACACTGCCTTCCACATTGCAACAGCAACTTGATTTGTCTGTGATCCCAGAATTTTCTAAGAGGATGAGTTGAACCCATAGCAGCATTGTTGGTACGACCAGTGGTTCTCAAACTTGAAAATGCCTCAGCATCACTGGGAGCTTATTGAAATGCAGATCCCAGATAGTCAGTAAATCTGCCTGTGAAGTATGATAGTCTGCATTTTTAATGAGCGTTCAAGTGATTCTGATGCAGGTGAGCTGGGGGCATACAGGGAGGAACACTGCCCTAGACTATCCATTGCATTTTTGCCTCTAAAAACTACAGAGTTTTCTAGGGTTTAAAATTATGTAAAATGTTTACTTATTCTGAGCTTAGAGAGAATGGGGAGGGTATTTTTACATGTTATTGTTTCATTTCTTCTTTGCTTTAATATTATAGGTACTAGGTTTGTTTGATTTTTTCCCACTTATCTTGAGTTCACTTTGATGTTAAATCTATTGCCACTTCAGTTGTAAAACCAGCCAGAAGTTTCTGGATGAAGGTCAAGTTTGACCTTTTAGGAGTTATTGTACATAAAGGCTTCATCCAAGAACCATCCAGTGTACAGAAGCAAATGCGAAAAGACACAAGCACAACTCTCCAGATGTGGCAGTCCTTTTCCTTTTTCAGTGCGAACTCTCACTGAAAGCTGCTATTTTCATCCTCCTTGTGATTGTTTTCCTTGTTTCTCTTCCATTGTACATGTGGGTTATATACCATGTGTCAAATATGCAATAATGTGTTTACAGGATGCCCTTCTGAAGGGTAGTCCTTTGTAAAGCTGTACAGACTTTGCAGTTTAAGCACAATGTGCACATGTTAGTTTTATATACAGCAAAACTTGATTTTTTGCAGATGGAAAAGTATTTTGTTTCTATACAAAGTAAATGGATTGTTTGTGCTTAATGTAAAGGCGCTTTATAAAATTGTAAAATAAAGTTTTTATCCTAAAAGGAATATACCTGGATATTTCTCTCTCTCCTCAAATTATTCAAAGGTTATTTGAGCCCAGCAAGCAGACTGCTGCCTATTTCCTGTTCAACCTCTGATGAGAAGTCAGGCAATAAATATTGTTCATCAAAGGCATACCAGGCCCTCTCAGATAATGTGTGGGAACAAAGAGTATGCATGGGCTTTAATCCTAAGGAGCCTTAGTCTACAAGGGGAAACAATGTATGCTAAACACTTTCAGAAAAAGAAAATGCTAAATTGTGTACTCAGGGAAGGTATTATGGAAGAGACAGAGCCTGCTCTGGGGTTCCAGCAGTGGAGACCTGGTGGAAGAAGAGGAGGGAGTAACCTGAGCAAAAGCAGCTGCCCATGTGCCAGATGCGGTGGCTCACGCCTGTAATCACAGCACTTTGGGAGGCTAAGGTGGACAGATCACCTGACATTGGGAGTTTGAGACCAGCCTGACCAACATGGAGAAACTCCGTCTCTACTAAAAATACAGAATTAGCTGGGTGTGGTGGCGCATGCCTGTAATCCCAGCTACTCGGGAGGCTGAGGCGGGAGAATCACTTGAACCCGGGAGGTGGAGGTTACAGGGAGCTGAGATCATGCCTTGGCACCCCAGGCTGGGCAACAAGTGTGAAACTGTCTTAAAAAACAAAACAAAACAAAACAGGTGCCCATGCCAGGTGAGAGGATGGCCTTTCCCATGCTCATTAAATCTGGGTAACCATTTTTTAACTAGTTTTATTTGAGAGTTTGTTTCTCATATATTTTCCTCTACTTGCCTCTTCAGAACAATTGCATTATTTAATGTTTGCCTTCTCAGAGGGTAGTGATTTAGCCTTTCAAACATAAAACCAGAGACCAGAGTCTGGGTTCATGTTACGTTTCACTGCACAGTATTTTTTGGACTGTAAACATTCTGTACCACTTATATAATGGAATTACAATTGATCACCAATCAACTTTTTCCAGCTGATGGGTGCACAGATTTTGACAGGCTGCTAATCAATATTCTTGGCAGCTTTTCCTTCTCCACCGTCTTCAGTTGGGAAATGGCCATAAGGTTGCAAGCAGTCTTGAGCCGAATGAGGTCTCCAGCTGCTCTTGCTTTGATTTTGCTGCTTGTGGCCAAACTGGTAATATGTTGGCTGTTCTGTGTTAGTGCACTGAGCATCTCATATTCATCTCCCCATTGCCCTTGAGAGGGGGTGGGCCCTCCATACTCCGGATAACTTAACTGATGAGTAGTCTGATGAGTGCTTCTTCCCTTCATATCCACAGGCTCTGGCGGCCACTGTGTGCCTGTGATCCTGCCTCCTCTGGCCATGACTTAGACGAGGGGCGAGTCCCCCTCACTCAAGCTGGCCGGCCAATCAGTCTTTTCCCCAGGAATTCAAAATGGGATGGATTAAAAAACTAAAGCAGATGCACAGTGAGACGCAGAGATGAAAAACAGAATCTTGACAATGCTCCAGGCCCTGGATCCAATGCACTTCTGAGGCCAGCTGTATTCTGCTCAGGTTCCATGAGATACCGCTGTATCCTTAGGATAAATTCCTATGTTTGCTGAAGTTGGCTAGATTTGGTTTCTGTTACTTGCAACAAATGAGCCCTAATTAATAATATATATCCTTCATTATGAGGAAAATACAGTGTAAATTCTGCATTTTCCTCCAATCTGGACCCTACTGTATTAGCTTGCTAGCGCTGCTTTAACAAATACCACAGACTGGGTGGCTTACACAAGAAATGTATTCTCACAATTCTGGAGGCTTGAAGTCCAAGATTAAGATGCTGGCAGGTTTGGTTTCTTCTGAGACCTCTCACCGTGGCTTGCAGATGGTGCTTTCTTGCTGTATCCTCACAGTTGTCTCCAACTGTGCTCTCTGTGTCTAGGGCCCACTCATGTGACCTCTTTTTACCTTAATTACCACTTTAAAGGCCTCTCTCTAAATACAGTCACGTTCTGAGATGCCAGGGAGTTAGGATTTCAACGTGTGAGTGATGAGGGGGACACAGTTGAGCCAGTAACAACCACTCAAAGGGTTGCCATTTAATTTGATGATAATCAGTGCAGACCATAACTCAGAAATCTCTAGGGAACATTAGTTGGGCAGAAATCTAGACTTGGGACTCAGAATACAGAGCTCCCTGGCTCAGCCATTAAAGCATCAAGAATTTACCCAGGCCGAGCATGGTGGCTCATGCCTGTAATCCCAGCACTCTGGGAGGCCAAGGTGGGCAGATCACCTGAGGTCAGGAGTTCAGGACCAGCCTGGCCAACATGGAGAAACCCCGTCTCTATTAAAAATACAAAACTTAGCTCGGCATGGTGTTGCATGCCTATAATCCCAGCTACTCGGGAGGGTTAGCCAGGAGAATAGCTTGAACCCAGAAGGTAGAGGTTGCAGTGAGCTGAGATTGCACCACCACACTCCCATCTGGGCAACAGAGTGAGACTCCATCTCAAAAAAAAAAAAAATTTTACTCTTTCACACCATTGGTGTCAGTTGCCTCATGGTACCTTTGAATAAATAGAGAACTCTGCTCTCAACGTTTGTAATGAACTAACAAAAGGTAGCCACTAAATTTAAGCAGTGGTTAAAAAACAAAAACATAAACTTCTAGGTTTTTATTCTTCTTACCCGTACGCCATTTTCATTAGCTCATTTTGAATGCAGAACTCTGGGGTATTGCGGGGGAAAGTATAGATACAGAATATATAAAAGTGCAAATAGTGGTGAGATTTTGTTTAATGATAATTTTTTAATCCCACGTCTGCATTATTGTAACTTACAAATAGTCAACAATATAGGGATAAAATATTGATTTTCATTATACCAACTCATTAAGAGTGTCAAACTGAAAATGGATGTGAATGTAAATGTTGTATTGGTGATGAATTTGAATGTTTGCTGCCCAATTTCTGGTGAAAAGAGATACATTTACCATCTGGTAAGAATGATTGATAACTTGCATGCCTATGTTGCATTTCCTGAATGTTAAGTAGCAGCAACACTGTGTAATTTTGCTAATCCTTTTCTAGGAGGATATTACAAAATGGCAGGACTGCAAAGCAAGCCATCAAGGAGCAGTAGCAGAGAGGACAGCTAAAAGGGGCAGAAAGTCCTGTGAAGGACCAGAAATAGAGCAGCCAACAATTGGTATTAAACACACAGTTTAGACAGAATGTTCTTAAGCAACCAAAACCTCATTGCGTCTAAGCTTAACATCAGGAGACCTGGTGTCCCCTGGGATTTTGCTCTGTTCTCATCAGCACCTAGTGAAATCACTGAGATAAGAATGGCTACTCCATTTCAGTTCAGAAAATCTAGTAAAGAGAGTTCACCTCTTTGGGGACTCGAGAAGGAAGTAAATCTCTGAAGTGGGGTGAGGAAAAGGTCTTGTTTTTAAGCAAACACATAGCAAAGATGCATGATCTTAATTTAATGCCTGTTATCCTTTTTAACACCAGTGAAGTTAAATCTCTGCAGTTCAGTTGAAGACAATGGGGGGCCCCAAACAGATTTCCAAATCCTCTCAACGGCATGGCAAGGTAGCCTTGGGGAAAGTGTCTATCTTTTCAGCTGCTGCAGGCAACAGAGAGAGCACTCTCTCCATCTGGAAATATCCATCAGAAGAAATTACCTGGGCAACTTTTTGTGAGCTTGAATTAATAGGTTTTAGTGTCGGGGGTACACGAAACCATGGTTCTGGATTAGTGTTTCTTGCTAACGAGTGTTTAGGAATAGCAAGAGGAAGCAGGCACCATTACAGATGCTCCTCAAACTAACTCTCATTAAGTACTCACCATGACTCTGGAAATCCGACTCCTGGTAGGTAAGAAAAGGAAGCACTGCTGCCTAGAGTTCCATTATTGGAATGCCAAGCATGTGGGAGTTATTTACTTCCTACTGCTCAAGGTCATCGCCAAGGTCTGAGTTTTTATTCATGCAGCTCACTGCAACCTCCGCCTCCCAGGATCAAGCAATTCTCCTGTCTCAGCCTCCCAAGTAACTGGGGTTACAGGCACCTGCCACCAAGCCTGGCTTTTTTATTTGATATTTTTAGTAGAGACGGTGCTTTACCATGTTGGCCAGGCCAGTCTCAAACTCCTGACCTCGTGATCTGCCTGCCTCAGCCTCCCAAAGTGCTGGGATTACAGGTGTGAGCCACGGCACCTAGCCAAGCCCAATTATTTCTGCAGGAGCATGAATTTATATCTCCTCAGTTTTACTTGGTAAGAGTTACCTCCATTTTCCTCCTCCATACTGCTGTCAGTTCTCCCAGAGGTCTGCCCAGCTCCAAGGCTCAACTTAAATAGCCCCTTCTTCCATGACGCATCCCTGATAGCCCCACAGCCAGACCTGCATCCCTCTGCCCATCCGTTCCTAGCCATGGGGGTGGTGGCACTACAGTGTGTTCCCTGAGTCCTCTCTGATTTGATTGTCGACACCCATTCCCCAAGCTGTTACTCTCACTCGGAAGCTATCTTGCTTCCTAGGTGACATTTGGCAACGTCTGGAGACATTTCTGAGGGTCACAGATTGGAGGGAGGGAATACCACTGGCATCTAGTTGGAGAGGCCAGTGATGCTGCTAAACATCCCACGATACACAGGACAACCCCTCACAACCAAGAGTTACCCGGTCCAGACCGCTTGAGGGCAGGGCTGCGTCTTGGTTAATGCAGTGCTCCCAGGGCCTAGGACACAGGGTCTGGCATGCAATAGGCACTCAACACTGGCATGTTGATGGGGTTTAATGGCAGCAGGCCAGGTCAAAAGGGAAAGACTCGATCTCAGCCCCAAATAGCTCACAGCTAGATCAGAGAGGAGAGCACATGCCCAGCTGGCCCTCCTCTGCAGTGGATGATGCAAAACCAGGGCCGGGAAACTATGAAATGAGTTTGCTCTGGGAGGGGTTTCACCAGTTTCAGGAGGGGGCATTAGGACTGGGTATTTGTTTCAGCTGAGCTCTTTATTGAAAAAATCAGAAATG